TACCTTGGTCTAATAAGTTTAGAAGCACTTAAAAGTGGGATGAGACCAAAATCATAGACTTCTCTGTGGTTTCAAACACTAGGAAGCTACAAAAGAAAGTGCTAGCATCTTTACATAAAGGCAGAAAGTCTGGAGTGGAGAAGCAGGTTATTTACCAACTGAATTTGTAGTAGAAGTTTTGTTTTGATAATAGGTTAGAAAACAAAGTATTCATGGGGGCTCAGAGGATTCAGAGGAAGCTTAGCTTTCTATAAAACGTAGTTAATCAGGGGACAGACAGATGACCCAAAAGCAAGTACTGGTATGGGATGCAATGTATAAATACAGCTTTTCTCCAAGAATGGTTAAGAGACACAGCTACATTAAGAGGCTAAAGAAGAAGAATTGCATGATTATGTCAACAGATGCAGGAAAACATTTAACAAATTTCGACACCCATTTATAATAAAAACTCTCAAAACTCAAACTAGTAATTATAGAACTTTAATAAATTACATGGATAAAAACCCTACAGCTACTGTCATATTTAATGCTGAGACACTCAAAGCTTTCCCACTATGATCAAGAATGAGCCACAGACGTCCCTTCTCACCTCTACTTTTCAATATCATATTGTGAATCCTAGCTAATGCAATAAGACAAGAAAGGAAATAAAGGAATAGCAATTGGGAAGATACAAGGATATAAAACTCTTTGCTCACCAGTGATATGATTGTCTATGTTGAAATTCTGAAGGAATTAGCAAAAAAAGCTACTGAAACTGATAAGTAATTATAGCATTGTTGAAGGATGCAGGGTTAATATACAGAAATCAATTTGTTTCCTATATCCCAGTAATGAACTGATGGAATCTGAAATTGGAAGCACATTGTCATTTACATTAGCACCCAATAAAATGAAATATTTAGGTACAACTCTCACAAAATATGTATAAGAGCTATATAAAAAACTATAAAACTTTGATGAGAGAAATCATAGAAGAACTAAATAAATAGATATTCCATGTTGATGAAGAGAGGCCAAGAAATAGACCTACTTAAATATGTTTCATCCATATTTTGACCTATGGTGAGTATGACATTTTACATTTGTTCAAACTCATAGAATGTATAACCTCAAGAATAAACCCTAATATATACTATGGAATTTGGGTGATAATGTGTCAATATAGGTTCATGTATTGTAACTAGTGTACCCCTCTGGAAAAGGGTGTTGGTGGTGAGGTAGGTTGTGTTTATGGGAGAACAGGTGTAATATAGGAAAATATCTGTACTGTCTGCTCAATTTTGCTGTGAACTTAAAAATATTACAAAAAAATTATAATGAAAATATAATTATTATTTTTTCCACACATTCTTTTTCCTTATTTCTTTTTTTTAAATATTTTTTTATTTGTAGATGGACACAATACCTTTATTTTGTTTATTTTTATATGGTGGTGGGGATAGAACCCAGTGTCTAAAGTATGATAGGCAAGCACTCTACCACTGAACCACAACCCCAGTCCTTTCTTTTTAAAAATTTGTTCTTTTTAGTTATACATGACAGAAGAATCTGTAAAACATGGAATATATATTATTCTAATTGGGATCCCAGTCTTATGGATGTACATGATGTTGAGATTCACTCTGGTACGTTCTTACATGTATATAGGAAAGTTATGTCAGATTCATTCCACTGTCTTTCCTATTCCTATTTGCCCTCCTTTCCCTTCATTCCCCTTTGTCTAATCCACTTAACTTCTATTCTTTCTTCTCCCTGCCCCTTTATATGGGTTAGCATCCACATGTCAGAGAGAACATTTGACCTTTGGTTTTTTGGGATTGGCTTATTTCACTTAGCCTAATAGTCTCCAGATCCATCCATTTACTGGAAAATGTCATAATATCATTCTTCTTTATGGCTGAGTAATATCCTCTTTCGTATATATACCGCATTTTCTTTATCCATTCATCTGTTGAAGGGCACCTAGTTTGGTTCCACAACTTAGCTATTGAGAATTGAGCTGCTATAAACATGTTGTGTTCATATCACTACAATATGCTGATTTTAAGTCTTTTGGGTATAGACTAAGGAGTGGGATAACTGGGTCAAATGGTGGTTTCATTCCAGGTTTTCTGAGGAATCTCCATACTGCTTTCCAGATTGGTTGCACCAATTTGCAATCCCACTAGCAATGTATGAGTGTGCCTTTTCCCCCACATCCTCGTCAACATTTATTGTTATGGTGGTGGGGATTGAACCATTCTTGATAATTGCCATTCTGAATGGAGTGAGGTGAAATCTCAGTGTAGTTTTAATTTTCATTTCTCTAATTGCTAGAGATATTGAACATTTTTTTCATATATTTGTTGACTGATTGTTACTTCTTCCTCTGTGAAATGTTTGTTCAGTTCCTTGGCCTATTTATTGATTGGGTTATTTGTTTTTTGATATGAAGCTTTTTGTGTTCTTTGTATATCTGGAAATTAATGACTTTATCTGAGGTGCTGTTGGCAAAGATTTTCTCCCATTCTGTAGGCTCTCCTCTTCACACTCTTGATTGTTTCCTTTGCTGTGAAGGTTTTTAGATTGAAGGATTCAATCTTGCTTGTAGCTTGATAAAATCCTCTGCTGTAGGCCCTTAGGGTTTTTTTTTTTTTTTTAAATCTTATTCTACTAAGGCAGTTATCAGTTTTGTCTAATTACATCTTCAAAAAAAATGATGGTGCCTGCTTTTCAACTTTCTATGCAGTTTTTTACTTTCAAGAAGAGGCAAAGAAAAAGTAAATGCATGAGTTTACTCCACCATGTTTAATCGTGGAGAGAGAGAGAGAGAGAGAGAGAGAGAGAGAGAGAGAGAGAGAGAGTGTAAGAGAGAGAGATAGGAAAATGCTCAGTATGTTAAAAAAAATCAGGAGATAAAGTTTTGAAAGGAAATATGTGAGTTTATCCCCAGGCTATGAAATTAATGATTTATTATTTTCTTAAAAATGATTTCTGTATTTGCTAATTATTATTTTATTATTTATTATTTTATAATATGCATGCATTACTTTCATGGCAAAAGAACTTAAAATGCATTTAAAAAATCCATACTGATGCTTATATTAGCTCAACAAGGTCAACTTTATTTGCAGTGAATATCAGTGATGTGGAGAAGGAAAAAAGTGTTCATTTTATCCATGTCAAATATTAAAGCTTTAATAATTAATTAAATGTAGGTAGCTATAATCCTTTTGGTAAAAAGTAGTGAATTTTCTTTTCACTACTAATGCTGATTCAATTTCTATAGGTAATGGTAAGCAATATTAAAGATTATATAACTAGTAGGTATTTAGGGTCTAATATAAGAATATATTCTAATAGAAATGTTTTTCAAGACCTTCCTATAACCTAAGTCAGAATATTCCCAAATGGGTTCCATGCAGAGAATCGCCAATCGATTCTCTGCAAATAAATGTCTGCAAATTGCTACCTATTATTTTGTTTCCTTTTAGAAACACATGGAAGCCTTTGATGATACTGCACTAAAGAAACTAGGTTAAATTTTTTGGCTTAACTCTTATTGAGTTAAGCATTTTTGAAGCTCATTTTGCGGACAATGTAGTTTTTTCACAAAATCCTTCCATATGATTCAGGCCAGATTCATTATCATCATTATTGTTGCTTATAATTGAACACCCAATGTTTAATGTCTTTCAGGCCATAATGATGTTCTTTAGGCAGGGAAGTGCTAGGGCCCCATTTACTCATGTAGGCTGATGGCGTCAAACTACTCAATTTATTTAATCACTGACTAAAGTAAAATTAACTGTGCTGGACATGCTCTCACTTGCTTTATGTGAGATATAGGGGAATATTTTACTGTTGCTGTGTTGGAGAGTGGAGCAATTTTGTTTTGCTTTGCTTTTTTTTTGGGGGGGGGATAACATCTTAGGAGGTCATTGGTTCCCAGCTGTTTTCCATCAGCCATGGTATTTTGTAAAAGCTGAAGCATATCGTGGGAGCATATCTACTAATATATATCTGTAGGTGCTGGTTATTGTCAAATTGTACAGCTGGAGTTCTGAGATATGAAGGTTTATTGTCTAATTTTCAAGCAAACACAATTTTAATGAATGTAATCATTCAGGGATTTTCTTTACCACATTTACTTTTTATGTCTGGACCCCTTTATGAAAGGAAATGAGAAAAATAATCTGGGAATCTAAAATAAATCAGACTTTAACTGTTGATATTCTTAAACTGGACTATGAGTATATAAATGGTGGACTTTACAGTAAAAATAAATTGCTTGGAAATAATCGACTCTTCTAAAACAATTTTTTAAAGCCTCACACTCTAGGTAATCCTTCTCCTGGGGGAGGCCACAGGACTTATTGTAAATTGAGAGCTGAGATGTTGTAGTTCCAGCTCTGACTTTAAACAGCTCTTAGTACTTTAAACAGTATCAGTACTACTTAATAGCAACCTTTATGGAGGGCTTTGCTTATACTAGATATTGAACTATAGGCTCCACAAGCTTCAGCTCTTCTAATCTTTACTATACCCCTTCAGAAGGTTGGACTAGATGACTGCTCATTCCTTTTCCAGCCGTACACGATCCCAGGAGTTATATCTGCTGCCAGACCTTTGTTCCACTCTGAGGGGGAGTCAGGAAATGTAGGAATCTCCTCTCTGAAAGGAGGAGAGGAGCCTATTAGGGAGCCTAGCTTGTAACTCACAATCATTTTCTATTCCACACCAATTTTGAATAACAGATATTATACTCAGATGTCTTAAGTGGGGTTTTCTGGTGGCCTCAGCATATGGTACTATAGTTTTCTTGCGTCACAGCTTGTTGAAGTAGGGCAGTGGGGAGGAGCTGGTATGGACTTGCCCATCATTGTTGGATCTTGGGTTTGACAATGTGGCCCATCAACTCTACCAGTCAAGTGGCATCATGTAACTCCACACGGTAACTCCCCCAACCTATATTTACAAAGTGTCTCAGCCAGGATCTCATTTGATTTCTAGTCCTCGTATTTGTTGCACATCTGGAAGATGAGAACTTCTAGAACATTGCTTTTTACCCTCTGAGTGCAGGGCTGTGCCACCCCGCAGTGGATTCTGGGAAGAAAGGTAAAATCTAATGACTTCTTCTCAGTTTTGGCCTAGGAAACTGCTGACCAGTTTTACCTCCAGATTGCCAAGTGATTTCTACTGAGTTTCTCAGCCTTGCCAGCATGGCATTGCTCTAAGGGGCCATTCTGACCCCGGGGATGGCTTGGGAGACAGAATCCTATTTATCTATCTTAAACACAAATCATCTCACACTTATGTGCAAGGAATTGGGGAGTGTGTCACTTTCATAAGGATTGCTCCCTTTCTTGAGGCACAGGCAAGTGAGAATTCACAATTCATCCTTCATCTTCCCCAAAAAAGTCTCTCTCCCACAACACCCAGAGGGAGTTTTGAGCTTTTCTGGGAAACCCAGATGGATGTTTATTGGACTTTGCTGTTTTCCGAGATCATCTTTCTTACCATTTACCCTTTGATTTGTTATCTGTTGAGAAATGGTTGAGAAAGAGTTCTCTACTCAGTTCCTGTTAGGGTTTTAATGATTCTACTCCCCCTGCCCCCACTAGGAAATAACTACATGCTAAAAAGTTTACTGAATAGAAAGATAGAATCAGTTAATACCTAGATGTCCTTCAATAGATGAATGGATTTTAAAAATGTGGCATATATACACAATATTACTCAGCAATAATAGAGAATAAAGTCATGGCATTTGCAGGTAAATGGATGAAGTTAGATAATGCTAAGTGAAGTTAGCCAATCCCCCAAAACCAAATGCCAAATGTTTTCTCTGATATAAAGAGGCTGATTCATAGTGGGGTAGGGCAGGGGAGCATGGGAGGAATAGACAATCTCTATATAGGGCAGAGGGGTAGGAGGGAAAGGGAGGGGGTATGGGGTTAGAAATGATGATGGAATGTGATGGACATTATTATCCAAAGTACATGTATAAAGACACAAATTGGTGTGAATATACTTTGTATACAACCAGAAATATGAAAAATTGTGTTCTATATATGTAATAAGAATTGGCTGCGTTGAAGAGGGTGGGCTGGTGGGGGGAAGGGCCACACAAAGATGGATGACAAGGACAGACGTGCAGGTTCTGACCACACTGTGTGCTCGGGGCATGTTCTACTGCTGGAGGGTACTCTGGGAAGGTGAACGGGACTGCAGGAAAGCCATGTGTCTGTTGCCTGTAAGTATGTGCAAACCTCAGGGAGATGTTTGCCTGAGTTTGAGTCTCAGTTTGAGTATAAGTTTTGGTTTTTAAACTATAACTTAAAGCCTCACTAAGCCAAGAAGACCTTTCAGCATAAGGGAATGCAATGATCTAAATAGATGAGCGATACAGGTTTATATATCAGTGTTATCATGCGTATATTCATACCAAAAGTTTTCAGGTGATTATTAATTCATTTGGGTAGTCCATCAACACAAGACTAACAATGAGGTGAAACTGTGGTAAACCCCACTCAAAAGTAAATGCTATCCCAATACTAAGACCTTTTTTTTTAAAAAAAAAGAGGAAAATTTGGATTTATTCATAGTACCTCATGCTATTTTCTACATAAAGGAAACCTCAGTATAAATGATCTGATATGAATGGAAGGTACTAACTGCTAAACACACTTGGTTTCCATGTTTTAAAAAATGTTTTTTTCCCTATTAAGTCCAAAAACTACCTGACTTAGCCTCTTCTGCTTTTATATTTTATATCTATATTTGAGGGTTTAACATTGAGTCTTTTTAAAAATTAAGAGGATAGTGATCAGCAATGAAATCAGATAAAATGGAGACAAGCCAACACCAAACAAGCAACAAATTTGTGTAAAACATTAGCTTGCTAATGGAAAATGAAATCTATATTTCTGGGTTTCAGATGATTATAGGAACAAATATTGTAATATATACATTCTTAATTCCATAAAATCAAGCCAGACCAATTTTTCTACTTTATATACAGTCTAAGCTAGAGTGCAGGAAGAGAAATGTAAACTCATAGATGGGAGTCTGTATCCTCTCCCTCTTCCTGTGTCCTTGTAGATGGATCCCATCCTCTCCTTTACTTGGTAGGTTGCCTCTATTTACCAGCTGTGATACCTTGTACAAGTAATTTAACATCTCTGTGCCTCAGTTTCTTCAATTTTCAAACAATGTTCTCAGTCTGCATTCCATAGGGTTGTTGGGAGGATTAGCTAAATATTTGTAAATTGCATCAGTTGTCTAGCATAGAAAGTGGCATGAGAGCCAATACTAAGACTTCTTTTTTAACAATACTTTTATTCATTTATTTATTTATTTTTTAAGTGGTGCCCGGGAATCAAACCCAGTGCCTTGTGCATGCTAGGCAAGCTCTCTACCACTGAGCCACAACCCCGGCCCAATACTGAAACTTTTTAAAGAACATTTTCAGATGTGTTAAGAAAAAGGCTTTAACTTTCCTAAAATCTTGGTCTTGATATAAAACATTCAGTTTCACAAAAAATTGTTTTTTATGTCTGAAAACAAAAGACATACTCTGATCTGAAGCCCCATTTTCAATAGAAGGAAGAAAAGTCCTGTTGAATTAAAAAACTCTTTCTGTCATATCTTGCACCCCTGTGGACCCTTTCTGCGGCTCAGACTCTGAGCAATGAACCTGGGGGCCAGAGCTCCTGTGGCAGTTGCACAAGGTCAAGGGTAAGAGGCAGGTAATGAGAAAATAAATGCTTACAGGGAACAACCTTGTAAAAATGAAGAGAGGGAGGCAAGCCAGATGCTCTGACTTTGATTTCAAGATAAAGTTCCAACAGGTGCTGGGACTTATGTCAAAATTATTAATAGGATGGAAATTCTCATGAGAATAGCAGAGTGACGCTGGGAGCTAAGAACTAAGGCTTAGTGAGGGAGGTCTACGTAATCTCAGATGGCACCTTCTTCCAGCCTCTTTCCTGATGCCCCAGCTGTGTTTTCCTCTCCTGCTTCAGTTCAGGCAATGATCCACTCTGCTTTGAATAATATTTGTGTATTTGGTTTAGCCAGACTACTCCATTGAATCTACCTGTGTATTTTACTATCCCCTCTCTTGTGCAAGACGAGGTTTAAGTTGGTGTTATGTGGAAAGACGCTTGAGGTCAGGGGAAGTGTGTTAGTCATACTGTTTCCAACAGTGCAGGGCTGCTATGTAGTAGGAGCTTGGCAGAATGGCTGAAGAGGTCTTGGCTTCTGATGAGTTTATTTTCCTGCTCTGTCACTCATATCATGTGAGTGACAAGAAATCTAATTTCTCTCAATTTCATATTTCTCCTATTAAATGAAATAATATATTTTAAATGCTAGTACTTACTGTAGTATGATTTGTCCTGTCTACTATTTAACACTTACTATTATTATAATCTCCTTAGCTTTAAGATTACAGTGAACTGTGAAAATTCTATTCCATTTTACCACACCTATAAGTGTGTTTCCTTACTTTACAAAATGGAACCAAAATACTCTACAGAATTAAAAACATACTAGTTAAAACACATTTTCAAGAGAATTAAAGGTCATTGTTGTGCTATTCAAAGAAAGCTATTTCTTAGATACCCTGAGAAGTTTAGTGGACTCACATAGGATCCTGATTTGGATGGTTAGTAATAAGATAACAACAGTACTAATTGTATTTTTCAAAGCACTTTCATATTTCAAAAATCTCATTATTTGATAGCTAACAAGATCTGAATTCTCTAGGGAACATCTGTAATGTAGTTCACGTAGAGGCAAATTTTCTTGGTGTTCTTGATTTTTGGAAACAGGGTATTCTCAGTTTGAGCCTTAGGTTCTCTGTGTAACTTCAGAATCTAGTTTTCTTCTACCAGCACCAATCCTCCCTCCAAAAGTGTGAACCACAGAATGATTAAGAAATATTGGGCTATGAGATGATTTTGGGTTCCCCTGGGAACTTACCAGGTCCTGGACTAAAATCTCACATTCAGTTCCTTATTTGAACTTCACACCACCTTGAGAGGTAAACTTAAGTTCAAAGATGTGAAGTAATTTTTTGTAAGACTCCACAGCTCATAAGTGGAAAGGCTGGGATTTGAACAGAGTTTGGTCTCACTCCAAAAGCTAGCTCATGAACACTGCACAACCCTGCCTCGCCTAAAGCTTGCACATGCCAGCCACCAGCCAGATGACACTGAGCAAGCCATCAAATCTCCCAGAGCCTTGGGGCTCTCAATTGCAAAACTGAGATAATATCTATGTTACAGGGTTGCCATGAGAATAAATTTATATGGCAATTTCCCACGAGTGTTTGCATCTATCAGTGGGCAGCTATTGAGGGTTAAGTGGGAGTTTTAAAGGGGAAGTCTCAGAGTCAAAGTCTGCTCCCCCTTTCCTGTGACACCAATATCACTAAACAGCTGAGGACTGTGCTCTGATAGAGAGCAGATGCACATCTAACACTTGGCCCAGTGCACAGCACAGAGAGGGAGCCCAGTAAATGTTTTTTTAATAAATTGACTCTATAGCTATGTTAATGGGTTTCAGTGCAAGTTTTTTTTTTTTTAACCTCAAGAAGTTCAGTTTTGAAGAAGGAAATAGGCAAACAAAAAGTAGAATGCTATAGTGCATGAATTAGATGTCAGGAATATAAGAAAAGCACTCTGGGAGCTGAGTCTTAGAGGAGAGGAGAAAAGGAAAAAACGTGGGCAGGGGAATAGCATGTCAGAGACATGAAGGCATCAGGGCTGTTTTAAGAGGCCCGGGTGGTTCTGGAGGAAGGAGTGTGTGGCGAATGGTGGGGCAGTGGTGAGATGTGGTCCTAGGACCTCGGATGCTGTGCTGAAAGATTGGGCTTGCATCCAACCAGTAATGTGTAGAGTCCTGAAAGGTCTTACTGAGAGGAGTGTTAAGGGCATGTTTTTATTTTAAAAAATTCACACTGATGGGAAATGTTCAGAATGGTCGGAATAGGATGAGGCAAAGATACAAGTAGAGTTAAAAGGTTATAATTGTAGTTCAGGGAGGAAAAGATATGAGCCTGAGCTATTATAGCCAAAATGCAGGGAAGGAAATGGACTTCAGCTGTGTTT